ACCTTGTGTTTTACTGATTCCTAGGTATTTGACCTTTTTCATACTGCTGTTACTGCTTATTTATTTAAACAAATTAGTAGATTTTTTTTTAGTATAGCATTGATGTAAAAAAAATGGAGTTGATTTTAGAGAGTGTTGAACTGTTTTCCTGAGTGCCTTTACTCTTCTTCAGTGTGTGGCATTCCAGTCCTTTCTCATTCTTGTTGGCACTGAGGACTAGCGCTGTTCTTTTAGCAATTGTCATAGCTATGTAGTGACTTTATCAAGCATTTTGCTAATGGCTAATAATGTTGAATATATTTTCATGCTCTTATGAGCCCTTCATATTATCTTTGTTGGAGGGTCTGTTCAGCTTCTTGCCCACTCTCAAGTCTTTTGAATTTGGAAACTCAGTATTCTGGAGATGTCTTTTTAGATATGTGATTTATAAATTCTTTCTTTGCATATTTACCATTTTTATTCTTTTGATGGTGTCGTTGGCATGCAAATATGTATTTATTCAGAGGAAGTCATACTCATGAATGCTTTTTCTTTATTTTATTTGAATACTTAAAGTTTCCTTATACCATTGTTTACATAATTGAGAGGGATGTACACTCATATGGGCCTCTGATCAGGATGGGGTGGTTCGGGCTTGAGGAAGGTTCATGGGATAAATCTTTCAGTTTTTTTTTCTCTTGCGTCCATACAGGATCACAGGAAAGGGGCCATTCCTTGCTGTCAAACTACATTAGCACCTGGAGGTGGGAGACAGTCATTTCATGACACTTTAGAGACTTTAATGCAAAGGATGTTACTTGAGTGATTTTGATAGTTCTGACAAACAGTTGGTTTCATTGCTAAAGGGTTCAGAAAATCTTTCCAAGGTCTCTTCATTGGCAGTGTCCACCCAGGAACATGCTGCAAAGCTTGGCCGGGAGATTTGTCCAACCTGTCTGTTTTCCATTCTCTGACAAGGCAATTGATGTCTCCTGCTGGCCTAGATGAACCGACTGTCATGTGTCCCATGTGCATCTGGACATGCTGTCCACTGCACAGGCATCAGCAACTGAGGAGGTCCAGTCCCAACACATGTACTCCCAGGTTGGGCCTGGGATTTTCTCTGTAGCCAGAGTCTGAGTCAAGTGGTCTAGTTGGGGAGTCCCCCAAGAAATCTTGTCTGGAGTTACCTCAGACTTGACTTGTGTGCACCAGCCAATGCAGGGTCATATGCCTGTTCATTTTTGCCCAGCTCCATAATCACATGAACCCATGGGTGCTATTGTCTAACCTAGTCAGCCCACCACAGACCTGATCCTTATACACAGCAGTTGGTGCAATGACCTAGTTGGGGTAACCCTCCAAAACCTTTGACCAGTCCTACCTCCAGTTAAAATTTTTGCATGTGCCACCTTTTGCTGTGGCCTAGTCTGGCCCAGCCCATATCCCATCTGACTCTCATGCACACCCATGGGGACTGCAGCTCAGTTCAGCCTGACCTGACCCCAGACCCGGCCCTCACATATACCAAAAATTGCTACCACCTTGTCCAGCCTGGTTGGTTCTCCAGTTGGTTCCACCTTGTCAGCCTGGTCCTCCCCAGTTGGTTCTCATGCTCACAGTGTGAGATAAAAGTTAGCCAGGGGAGTAACATCTGTTCTCCTGCCAGGAATGTTCCCAGACTCCAATTTTGCACCTGCCATGGGTTATTGTGGTCCAGCCTGACATTACTTGCACCCCTTCCTATCACTTGCCAGCAGGTGCTGCAGCCTAATTCAACTGGCCCACTCACATTCTGGCTCTTGTGTGCACCAGCAGGTGCAGCATTCTAGCCCAGCCTAGCATGCCCCAAGTTCCAGCTCTTGGCAGCAAGTGCAGTAGCCTAACCCAGCCCGGCCCATAGCAATCCTTATGTGAGCTGGCGGGCGTTGCCATCCAATCTGCCTTGGTCTACACCCTGTCCACGCTCCCACTCATGCCAGTGTGTTTTGTGGACTGATCCTACCTGGCCTGCCCTAGACCTGGCTCACATGTATGCTCATAGGTGGATTGGCTCACACATATGCTAACAGTTGGACTGAAAGTGTAACAGCCAGGATGTGAACGGTTGTCCTAGTATAGGTTGCCAGCATTACAAACAGTGGCTCTATTTTTCTATTTGAAATGACGTTTAAAATATTTATTTGCTTTTATATAGGAATGTGTGTGTACGTATTGGCCACATATCCTGCAGCTTTGCTTAAGTCATTTATTTATTCTGGCTCTGTGTGTGTGTGTGCATGTGTGTTGGTTCTACATAGTCATATTTTGTGCTAGTAACAGTTTATTTCTTCCAACTTACACACCACTTTTTTTGACTTGTTAGTTCTGGTTAATATTTCTAGGACCATTTTAAAAAGTGATAGTGTGAATAGGTCATCCATTGCCATCTCTCACCATCAAGTATATTTTTAATTGTATGTAATTTAAGAGTGACCAATATTCTTTATTATTAAGGCAGATCTCCTTACCCTTTATTATTAAGGATTACTTTTCAAAAAGATTTATTTATCTTAATGTGAGAGGAGTTTTTTTTTTTTTTAAACAGACTATACAGAGAAAGAAAGGTCTTCTCTCCATTGATTCACTTCCTATATGGCCACAATGGCCAGAGCTGAGCTGATTTGATGCTGGGAGCCAGGGTTTATTGCTTGCCTCCCACCTGGGTGCAAGGGTCTAGGGCCTTAGGCCATCCTCAACTGCTTTCCCGGGCCACAAGCAGAGGGCTGTGGAAGTGGAGCAGCTGGGGCATAAACCAGAGCACGTACTGGATTCTGGCATGTGCAGGTGGAACATTAGCCTGCTTATGATTTTGCTGGCCCCAAGGCAGTCATATTTAGTTTGCATATACTTTTTAAAAATCAAGAATGGATATTAGATTTTGTCAAATCATTCTTTGTCTACTAAGAAGATGGGTTTTCTCGTTCATTGTTAATTTGCTGCATATTATGCAGGAACTGGATGACAGAATTAAAAGTAAATGTAGACTTTATTTCTCTACTTGAACTCCATCAAATTAAAGATGGTTGGAATCTTATCTATTGAGCTAGGTTGATCGATAAGTGTTTTTCAGGTCATCTTGATGTTTTTTCTACCTGCTTTTTCTGTTAGGTATTTTAGAGGACTGTTGATATTTCCTGTTTCCATTGTAGGCTTGTCCATTTCTCTGTTGTCAGCTTTTACTTTACATATTTAATTTATACATGTCTGGGGTAGTTATATGAACAGTGGAGTTGACCTGGGTGAAGATGCTCTCCTTAGAGCAGGCCGACCCTCTTTTTTTTTTTTTTTTAAAGGTGGGATTGTCTCATGACAGTGAAAACTGTTTTCCTTTTTTTTTTTTTTTAACAATTATTTATTTTATTGGAAAGGCAGATGTACAGAGAGGAGGAGAGACAGAGCGGAAGATCTTCCGTCTGATGATTCACTCCCCAAGTGGCTGCAACGGCCGGTGCTGCGCTGAGCCAAAGCCAGGAGCCAGGAACTTTCTTTTGGGTCTCCCATGCGGGTGCAGGGTTCCAGGACCCTGGGCCATCATTGACTGTTTTCCCAGGCCACAAGCAGGGAGCTGGATGGGAAGTGGTGTCGCCAGGATTAGAACCGGTGACCATATGGGATCTCTGCGCATTCAACACTAGGCTCAATCCTTGATTTTTGATGCAGGGTCTAAACACCTCATCACAGCATCTATAACAGCATTCATATTTTTCTATAGGAGTCTGTTTTGGAGATATTTTTCTAGGAATTGGTTCATTTTGTGTAAACTTTTAAATTCATTGCCACAAAGTTTTTCTCAGTTTTCTCATTTTTAACATTTGTTTTATCTAGTTATGACTTTTTCCTTTCCTTAACTTAGAAAAAAAATTTTCTTTGAAACATAAAGAAACATTATTGTTATTATTATTTTTTAAAGATTTATTTGTTTTCATTTTAAAGGCAGAATTACAGAGAGAAAGATCCTCCATCTGCTGGTTCACTCTCCAAGTAGCTGCAACAGCCGGAGCTGAGCCAGGAGCTTCTTCCAGGTCTCCTACGCGGGTTCAGGGTCACAAGACTTTGGGCCATCTTTGACTGCTTTCCCAGGCAAGTGGGAAATGAACTGGCGACCATCTGGGAACCCAGTGCATGCAAAGTGGGGATTTAACCAATAAGCTATTGCGCCCACAACAGAGATTATTAAGGTTTCCTTACTTCCTCTAGTTCCCCAAAGGAGGACCACAATAGTAAGTGCAAGAGAAATGTTAGAAAATGTTAACTTTTTGTTCGTCAACATAATGGGAAACAGAATAAAAAACCCAGCACCTGTATAAGTTGTCATTCCAGATTTGTAGTCCTTTAAGGGAGATATCATTCACTATTCTCGCACAGATGAAGAAGCTGAAGTGCAGGAAAGTGACTGATTCAAAGTGACTAAGTGGAGGAGTCCTCTTTCCGCTACAGTATTCAAAATTAATGTGTAAGTCATTGTTACTGAATCTCACTGCTGTGATACCCATGATAAATGACCTTTAAGATTTTGTTTGCAGATATACAAGTAGGATTAAAGTCATTGTGTATTTGATTATCATCAGCAGTACTTTTGGCAGATCCTGGCTTCAATGGGAAGAATTATGCTGTCCCAATGACAGACATTAATTCTAATTGTCTTTAAGAAGTAGTACCTGGCACAGGGTTGTGGGTCAGTTACTGAATTTAACCTGGCTCTGCAGTCAGGAGGGTCCCATCTTGTCTTTGACTCACAATGACATAACTGGAAAGCCAACATACCTCAATCTCCTTGTGCAGAGAATTGATCTACCCATTGTAACCGCTAATGTGTGTTCATGCTCCCAAATGGTTATTTCAAAACTCATGACAAAGTATTTCAATAAGGAATATTTATTAAGAAGATACATGATCATGCTATGTTTTGGGTAAACCACTAAACATACAAGTCAGTGAAATGCAAAGAAAAAAATCAGAACAAAATTATTTTCAGAGAAATTTTGTGTTTTACAGTGATCACATAGCCATTGACACATTAGAAACTTATTATCATTGATATACACACCATTTCCTCAGTCTTATAGTTAAGTCTTTTTAAAGTAACTTTTTTTGGCAACATTTTGTTCAAAATAAAAATTTGCATTGAAGTCTGTATGTAAATTAGACTTTTCCAAGCCTCTGAGAATAGAAATGATTTAAGATCTGTAGATTTACTTGCTAAGTAGTTTCTTCAAGAAATAAAATACTCTTCATTTATCACATGGTATCAAATGAAATTTTTCAAATAAAAAATTTTAGGGCACATGAATCCTTGCAAGATGCTACAGTATAGTCTGTGTTAATATGTGTTAAGTAATCTATATGAAATGACAACCTCTAAGAATTTAGGTTTTTCCAAATATATTTCCTCATGCTTGACGCTAAAATTCTACTGAGTCTATAAACTTTACTAATTGGTTGTAGAAGTCTAATAAAATCATGTAAAATAGTAATAATGACAACTATCACTTATTGAGCACTTATTCTATGCTAGGCACCTACCAAGCTAAGCACTTTGCATATATTGTCCCATTTAATGTTTAAAATACCTCAAACAAGTAGGTATTATTAACTCCATGTACAAACAACAAAACAGAAGTTTAACAGATTAAACAATAGCCAAAATAAAAACTTAGTATTAGAGCCAGGAATTTAAGGCAAGTCTGTCTTACTGGGAATCCAAAGCCGGAATACTCAATTATTATACTTTATCCCACTGATGAGAGACTCCTGACCTACTCTAATGAAAGTGAATGCCTAATACTAATTTCTGTAATACATTTGCAAAAAGTGTAACCTGCATCATTGGACTAAGAGGTAAGACCAATCCATGTGGCACAGAAAAAAAATCCTGTCTATTTAAATATTTGTATTTACACATCTTTTTCCATTTTCAGTACTCTAATAAGATTATAAATATGTGAATACAGACATGCAACACATTCCACAAAGGAACAAAAATATACAGAACCCAAATTATTGCATACAAAGTGCTTTTTTTTAAAAAAATAAAAGGACCTTGTGACATTTCAGACACATTTATTTGAATACTTACAACAAATTACCATGGTTGTAATATAAATAATGTTTAAAATCTCCTATTTTCTTCTATATGCCAGCATTTAGTGTTTCAACTAGTCAAGAGAACAGCCACTCCATCATGTAATGTTGAAGGCAATTCACATAGCATCAAAATGAAACCGATGGGCTTCTTGTCGCTTTTCTCTGTCATCTGCTTTCTGAAAAAAAAAATTTAAGACTATATATAAGAAAACGTGAAAAGACCGAACTACAGTTTCTGAAATATAAAGTGACTGATTTCTTAAAAGCCCTTAGATACTAGTTTAGGTATGATGATATAATACAATAACCTTTTAAAATATTTACAGTTTGCAGTAGCTATTTTATAACTAGTAAGTGAATTTGAAAACCACCAAGAAGTGTTGCTTAAATACTTAATATGTTGTTTATTAGAAAGTAAGGACTAAAATGTTATATTATCTAAGGGCATAACCAATTCTTGCATTCACTTCCTTCATTCTTAGTACTGATATTAAATGAACCTTAAGTACTTAGGATTTAGTTTCTGGTTAACTTATTGATTTAGCAGATAATTATTAAGCATTTCCACCCCAGAGCACTATGCACGGTATTTTTATATGTCCTGTGTTCTAACCTTACAACAGTAATGCTGTAATCAGATCTCCTGAGAAATTAATATTCTATGCAGGTCAAGAGCTATAGAATATTTATTATTTTATTTTATTTATTAATGCATTAGAAAGGCAGTTATACACGAAGAGGGACAGACATATAAACACACATATATACCTTTACAATTCTTGAACTTTGTTTGAAAGGTAGAGAGGAGAGAAGGAGAAAGAGACAGAGATCTCCCATAGATTGTTTTATTCCCCAAATGCCTACAACAGCTGCAACTGGGGCAGGCTTGAAGCCAGGGGCCAGGAGCTCCATCGCAGTTTCCCATGAGGGTGGCAGCAACCCGCATTCCGGCTGCTTCCCAGGGTATGTTAAGGAAGGAAGCTGGGATCAGTAGGAGAGCTGGGACCTGAATCCAGGCACTCCACAAGGTGCAGGTGTCCAAGGGGCACCTTAACTGCTGCTCCCGGGCCATGGCTCTTTATGCTATGGTTTTGGTAATGTAAGGGAGTGGCTTTTTTTTTTCTTTCTGTAAAGTAAATCTTTAAACATTTATCACAAAGATTAATTCACTCTCTTTTCATACGCTAAAAGAGCAGCTAAGATAAAATAATGGTAATTCTACTCAGTAAGATGTAATTTCGATGGGCACAACTCTCCAAAGAAAGAAACCATCTGTTTTTGTGACATAAATAAGTCCTTTTTTGGGAGTAGTATTGGAACCCACTCATATATTTAAAATATATACTCACACATAGATAGAAGTGAGCTTTTATAATGTATACCTGAAGTGCTAACAAATTATGATTATCATTTCCGTCATATATATACTAGATAAAAATCTACACCTTTGCCTATTCTGTTTTGAATTATTTAGGGCTTTATCCTAAAAAATAGAGATGAGTTTATTATAACGAAGAATATTTGATAGAAAAATGTTTATTATCTAATGTTTAGTGGCTAAACATTGGGAAACACATGGAAATTCTGGAAAAAGAGTGTCCATAGTTTTTTTTTTTAAAGACTTATTCTTATTGGAACGTGGGATTTACAGAACGAAGGAGAGACAAAAAGATCTTCTCTCTGCTGGTTTCCTTCCCAAGTACAGAGTGCCGGACCTGAGCCAAAGCCAGGAACCAGGAGCTTCTTGTAGGTCTCCTGTATGGGTGCAGGGTCCCAAGGCTTTGGGTCATCCTCTACTGCTTTCCCAGGCCACAAGCAGGGAGCTGGATGGGAAGCAGATCAACAGGATATGCACTGGGACCCATATGGGATGCCGGCATGTGCAAGGCGAGGATTTTAGCCACTAGGCTCACATCAGGCCCTATAGTTTATCAGTAGATAATGAATACTGCACAAGCTCATTCAATTATTTTTCAGGCTATTATGAGACTACTTCTAATTCAGATTCTCTAAATACCAGGTGATTTAAGGGATGATCACCATTACTGAACATCATCAAACTTGTTAGTCTTCTGTGATGTGTTTGCATTGCTAAGAGATGCTGGTAACTTCTTGGAAACAGAAACAACCATCAACGATGTAACACTCTGGGGACAGGCACTTGCCACAGAGGTTATGCTGCCATTCGGAACACCACCATTCCATAGCAGAGTGCCTGGATGACTCAAGTGATGGATGTTCAAGTACCTGCATCCCTGCCATCCATGGGGGGAGACCTGGACTGAGTTCTGAACCTCTTTTTTCAGCCAGCCCCCTCCAAGTTATTGTGGGCACGTGAGGAGTAAATCAGCAGCTGAGATATCTATCAAACATGTAAATATGGCCAAGCATCCTCTTAAAGCAACATACCTCACTTCCCCCCCCCCCAAGTTTATTTATTTCAATGGCAGAATCACACACACACACACACACACACACTGAGAGAGACAGAGAGAGACAGAGAGAGAGAGAGAGAATATCTTTCATTTGCTGGTTCATTCTCCAAATGGCTGCACTGGTGTGAACCCAGGAGCTTCTTCTGGTCTACTGTGAGGGTACAGGAGCCCAAGGATACGGGTAATCTTTTGTTGCTTTTCCAGGCCAGTAGTAGGCAGCTGCGTCAGAAATGGAACAGCTGAGAACTGAGCCAGCACTCACATGGGATGCTAACATGACAGGATGCAGATTTACTGGCTACACCACAGCGCAGCTCCTATACCCCACATTAAATTACATGCAGGATAAACTTGAAAAATGACAAATCTCAGTCATGTGAATAAAGTTTAAAACACTGTTTTGCAAGAGTAATCTCTCTCATTGTTTCCCTCTGTGTCTTAAGTAAATCAAAAACACTTAAAAAAGAAAAAGAGGTGGGGGGAGGTTGGCGTTGTGGCACAGTGGGATAAAGCACTATAGCAAGAACATCAAGAAGGGTATAGCGTTCCAGCTGTCCCATTTCTGATCCTATTCCCTACTGTTGTGCTTGGGGAAGCAGCACAGTGTGGCCCAAGTGCTTAGACCCTTGCCACTCATGAGGCTCCTGGCTTCTGCATGGCACAGTCATGGCATGTGTGGCCATTTGAGGGGTGAACCAGCAAATGGGAGATTTTTGGCTCACCCTCTCTTGCTCTCTCTGTCTTTTAAATAAATAAGCAAATTTCTTAAAAACAGTAGTGCATTACTTTAGTAAACCAGATTTAATGTTTAATTTAAATGAACAAACCTTTTCCTGCCAATGCAAAATGCCAATTATTGCCAAGATGAAAACACAGACACCAATGAGAGCTATGGCTGTCAGTAGAACAATGTTACTTGGTGTAAGGTATAATTTGGCACTCCAGCTGTAGATGAAGAAAGAAACAATGACCAATTTTAATTTAAAATAACACATTTCCATTGAGACCAAAAAGCAAAATAACCTATTCATAAATCAAACAGTGCATTCATTCATCTATCCATTCATTATGTAGGGCAAAAGGTGCTAAGATCATTGATACTGTAGAGGTCATATTTTATACAGAGTTGAAGTAGATGTTTTATCATATGTTTTGATATTTTTCCCCATATTTCATCCTATGAGAATTATTCTTAAATAAACTTATCAATGGGCACTTTGACAATCTTAGACATATTTTTTGCATCTTGATTGATGTGAATTTGAAACCTTTAACTCTATGGCTCTTACGGCTATGTAGCAAGTGGTCTAAGACTTCTGCATTCTCTTCTTTTTATTTTTTTCCTTGTCCACATATGCAGTATGATCAACTAAAACAACTGCCAAATGTGAGGGGTTTTACATAGAGAAAAACCTTGTGAAAAACCTCTACCATTTCTGTGTCATGAAATGTTACAGGGGATCACATTACTATAGTAACTCAGATTGAGACATTTTACAAGATTACTTTTTGTCCTTTGCTGCCATTGGCATCATACAGATTTAATGTCTTTGGCACAAATCAAACTGGCTCTTTCCCCCTAAAATAGTTCATAGAATACAAAAGCCTGATTCATCATGTCTTTGTCATCAATACTGCAGATAGTCCCATACTTAGGGATTTTTGTTCTTGGAAGTAGGGAACAGATGTGTTTCCATTTTAAAAGCTAAATAAAGGTAAACTCATTCTGATGAATAGCTAGCTAGTCACTATTGATTTATTTTGAGATAATTAAAATTTATTGATCCATAAGTTAACCTCTAGTCAGTAGATTTCAAAATTATACTTTAAACAAAAATCAATTTGGTGTTATTAAGTACATCAATTTGATTAGAGCATTTCTTTGAAAAGAGCAAAAGAAGTGAAAAATGTTGAGATTATGGATGTGGGAACTATGACAGAATTTTCAGGAAATCAAATTAGTAAGTAAACAAAACAGATTTGTGCAGTTGAGGTCAGCTATTTTCAGTACTTTACTCATACTTAGAAGGTAAGTCCTTTCATGAGATTGTTTTGAAAGTTCTTTTTATTTCTAATTTTTTATTTATGCAAATAGAACAAATTTCATATATTTCATATATATATAGTTTTGCGAACAAAATGACACTTCACAGTCTGCCCTCCTTCCTTTCTTATTTTTAACTTTTGCAACGACACACTTTTTAAGCAAAAGACCCTAGTTTAGTGGGAATATAGACAGCAGATATAAATAATAATTGAATGAAAAATGACCATTTCAATGGTATATGGTAAATTTAAAAATAATCAAAGATCATGAAAACAATGGTAGTATAACATTCCCAACCACTGATTTGACAAATATGTAAGACAAAGCTTTACAAAGTATATTTGCAGCAATACTGATAGTTATTTCCCCTCTTCCTTCCCTTCCCGTCTTCTTCCTTTCTTGGCATTCTCGCTCCCTCTCCTTCCCTGCCTTTTCCTCCTCTTCCCTCTCCTTCTATTTTAATTCACAATAAAAGCAAGGAAATGTTGGTATCTGTGTTTGGCTTACTTCACTCAGCATGATGCCCTCCAATTGTGTTCAATTTGTTGCAAATGGTGTAAGTTCATCCTTTTGAGAGCAGAACATTCCATAGTGTATATGTACTACATTTTCTTTATTCAGTCATCTAGTGGTAGACACCATGCTTGGTTCCACGTTTTGACAAACACGGTGCTATGGTTCTATCTTTGATGCAGTGTTCCTGTCTTTTGGGTATATATACCCAGTCAGTGGGATTGCTGTCTAATATATGGCAACTCTATTTCTAAATTTTTTTTTAGATTTATTTTTATTATTATTTTTTTTATTGGAAAAGCGGATATACAGAGAGGAGAGACAGAGAGGAAGATCTTCCGTCCGATGATTCACTCCCCAAGTGAGCGCAACGGCCAGTGCTATGCTGATCCGAAGCCAGGAGCCTCTTCTGGGTCTCCCACACGGGTGCAGGGTCCTAAAGCCTTGGGCCATCCTCGACTGCTTTCCCGGGCCACAGGCAGGGAGCTGGAAGGGAAGTGGGGCTGCCAGGATAGAACCAGCGCCCATATGGGATCCTGGGCGTGCAAGGCGAGGACCTTAACCACTCACTGCGCCACCGTGCCGGGCCTTCTATTTCTAATTTGTAAAGAAATTACACCATTGCTGTGCTAATTTACACTTCCACCAACAGTGTGTGTTATTTCTCCGCATACTCAACAGCTTTTATTACTCTGTTGGGTTTTAGCCATTCTGACAGGGGTGAGATGTTATTTCTTTGTGGCTTTGATGCCCTTCTCTGATGGCTAGTGGTGTTGAGCATTTTTTCATGTTTGTTGGTCATTTGTTTTTCCTCTTTTGAGAACTGTCAAGGTCCTCTGCGCATTTCTTAACTTGATGGGTTGATTCTGTTGTTTACTTTTTAAAGTTGCTAGCATATTTTTGGATACTAATCCTTTGTTAGAAAGGCAGCTTGCAAATATTTCCCCCAATTTGGTGGACGTCTTTTTCCATCTACGAATCCGTTCTGTCTCTGTGCAGAAGCTTCTGAGTTTGTTACAGTCCCAATTGTTTCACGTTGTTTTCATTGATTATGCTCTGGGGAGGGGTCATTCTTTACATTCATGTCCTGGCATGGTTCCCCTACATTTTCTTCCAGCAACTTCATAGTCTTGGGTCTAATTTTATAAGTCTTTGATCCATTTTGAGTTTGGAGGATGTTAAGAGGTATGGAACCAAACTGTTAACATGTACACATTCAGTTTTGCCAGCACCATTTGTGAAATTATCCTTATTCCACTGAATTGTCTAAACACTTCTATTAAAATAAGTCAGTTGTAAATATGGGCATTAATTTCTGGGCTCTCTGTTCTATTCCAATGATTTATTGGTTTTTATGCAGGTACCATGCTATATTAATTACTATAGCTTTTAGTATGCATTGAAGTTAGGTATTGTGATGCCTCCAGCTTGATTTTTCTTGCTCAAAGTTGCTTTGGGTATTATTCTGGGTCATTTGTGAATTTAGAGTTGTTTTTATTAATTCTATAAAGATGTCATTAGCATTTTGATGGGGACTGTATTGAATTTCTAGGTTGCTTTAGGTACTACACACATTTTAATGATACTGATTCTTCCAACACATGAGCAAGAAATATCTTAGCACTTTTTTTTGGCTCTTTATGTTTTCTTTCATCAATGTTTGATAATTTTCATTGTAGAAGTCTTTTACCTCTTTGGTAACATTTATTACTAAGGAGTTGATGTTTTTTGTGGCTACCATGAATGAGATTTTTCTTTCTGTGAATTTATTATTAGCATGTGAAAAGCTACTGATGTATGTATATTTTGTATCCTACAGTGTTACTGAACTGGTTTATCAACTCTAATTGTTTTCTCACAGAATGTTTAGATAATTTGATGTTCAGTATGTTATCTGCTAACATGAAAAATTTGACTTCTATCTTCCAATTTTAGGTCTCCTTGCTAAAATGGTTCTGCTTTTAAAATAATTTTTAAATATATTTTAAAAAATATTTATTGAAAGGCAGGATTATAGAGAGAAAGCGAGAGACACAGAGATATCTTCCATTTGTTGCTTCACTCCCTAAAGAACCACAATGCCCAGAGTTGGGAGGATGTGATGTCAAGAACCAGGAGCCTCTTCTAGGTCTCCCGCATGGCTGCAGGAGCTTTAGCTCTTGGGACTTGCTCCACTGATGCCTCGGCCACTAGCAGGGAGCCGGACTGTTAAGAAGAGCAGCCAGGACTTACACTAGCACACAAGTGGGATGCTGGTACAATAGGTAGAATCTGAATTTGACAGGCTATGGCACTGGCTTCTAAAATAGTTTTTAAGAATCAGAAATGCAGGTTATTTTTGGCCAAAAAAAAAAAGCCCACCAAAAAATGGACAAAAAAGGCTAGTTTTCCGTTTTCTACTTAGAGGTAGTCTCTCTGACCAGAATCTCATAATTTTTTGAGACAAATAGATAATATCTTGTGAATCAAAATAGCTGTATAATTTACATACTGTGCTGTATTCTATTTTTTATTTTTTATCTTGAGATTGTTCTAAGTGTCCATAACAGTAAATAAAAACACGTCATTATACTGAACAAAACAGAGGTGCTATATTTTATATGGTTTCAAATTCAATGCCTAGATTTTCAAGTTTTGTTCACATAGAATATAAGCTTACTAAAAAGAACAAAACAGAACTGAGCCAGGACTATCTGTTGCTATTGATGTCACCCTGTTTCAAGAATAAATTTCCACTAAAGTTTGTTTTCTAAAGGAATTTGGTTCTAAAGTCCATATATCTACTATAAAATACATCTATCCAATGGAGTACTGATAAACTAGCTCTCTGGGGGTGGTCATCTTTGTGACTTCACTGAATCCATATGGGAAGAAATGCACATAGCTCAGGAGGTGGCATGAGCTGGCACAGCCCAGGATACAGAGCAGGTGATGCCTCTGACACGCATGTGGGAGACCCAAACAGCATTCTTAGCTACTGGCTTTAGTGTGGCCTACTCTAGCTTTTACAGACATTTGGCGCAGTGAGCCAGTGGTTGGAAGATCTTTTCCCTCTTTGTTTCTTTTCCAATCTCATAATCCAGTCAGCAACAGAGTTACGTTTTTGCAGTACAAGGTCAGTTGACTCCAAAATTTTTGCCAAACCAGTGTGGCATGTATGAATATAGTACTTCTCAAATAATTTACATATCAATGGTTATTAAAAAATTTAGCATCCTGAAATTTTAGAATTTATAACTGAAGACATTTATTTAAGGAAACTTTGTATGAATCTTTAATTAGTTAACCTGCTGGTTTCCTGTGATGGGATTGAATTTGTTCTTCATGAACAATGTCAGGAACCTTTTGTATAGGTACACTTACGCACTTAGTTTGCTGTGTGCAAATGAATGGGTACTGAGGAGAACAGAATAAGAATGAGAGTTTTAAAAAGGCATAACAGTAGCTATGATTCAGAACTGACAGCATTATTTCATTTCAAGAAAGGACATTACCTTCGAGGGACATTGTGAGGATACGGAATGACAATTAGCTGGGAATTTGGAATGATTGCAGTCCACTCTTGTTTCCGTACAGACTAGAAAAACAATTTATACCAATTTATATCATATAATATCATGAATACTAAAAAACACAATTACCTCAAGCAAGGAAAAATCTCTTTGAGAAAATGAAATCCAAGGTATTGATTAACCTAAGTTTACATATATTAAACCCCACACAGGGCTCTTCTACCATCTGTTGGAAAATTTTCTGATCTATTCAGGGAAGGATTATGTTATGTCTTATGAATCCATTTATTTGGCAAATAATTTTGACACTTATGTAGTAAGCACTGTTCAAAGTGCTCTGTGCAAATGATGGTTGGATCTAATACACAAGTTAGGAGGAGACTGAAAATAAAAATAAAAAATACGCATACCTATTTATGTATGAAACAGGCATAATATTTTACAGATTAGTGAAAATTATTTTACTTATATATTTTAAATGGTAAAACATGTTAGGAAGAAAAGCAGGAAGGAAGGATAAGAAGTTGTGAAATTTAAGGGAGAAAGGAGGTAGAAACATGTTATGACATCTTTAAAACAATTATGATAAGCTTAGATAGGTTATTATCAACTGAAATTTGAAATGTTTGAATTGAAGATTCAACTGAATTCAAGTTATAGAATATAAATATTCAAAAAGTGAATATATTAAATCACAGACTAATTATAAACAAACTAAATTTTCCTTACCCTCTCTCCAGATGGACGGGGAATACCAACATAAAGATGGTCAAGAAAATTTGCACTTCGACCTAAGCCAAGAACACTGTATGGTAGCTGGAGGGCTAAATGTGCTGACTGGCTCAGTTGTCCAGCTAGATTTATTAAAGAAAAACAAAAGACAAAAAATATTATTGGAAACAGTGCCCCTATGAAATCTTAGAATTTCAGGCATTACAATTTATTTCTCACACACAAAAATATGAAATGAAATAAGCAATCCAGTACTATCCACTTTTATGATATAAATCATATACCATAAACATAACCCTTTAAAATATACAATCATGGGGTTTGTAATATACTAAAAGACTTGAGCATCACCATAAGCCTTTTTTGTTTTGTTTTGTTTTGTTTTATGATACAGTTCCATAGGCTCTGGGGTTACCCATGTCCTTCCCTATACCATAAACTTTTTAAAGAACATTTCATCATTTAGAAAGAAGCCCAAATTCTAGCTGTAGGTAATCACACCTGTGTTCCGTCTATATATTTGCCTGCTCTGAAGATGCCATGGATGCATCAGCCAAGATGTGGCCTTTTGTGCCTGGCTTATTTAGAACAGGTTCCAAGGTTTACCCATTTGGTGCTATTTTTAAATACACTGAAGTGCCAAGTAATGTTCTGCTGTATGATATATGCTATACTCTGTTTTACTGACCAAGACATGGACACTGTTAATTTCTACATTTTGGTTATCATACTCCTTGCTAACATTTCTTAGTGTAGGTCTTGATTATGGCCATATTTTTATTTTTGATGATAGCTATCTTATGAAGTAGGATCTCACCGGAGTTTTTATTTGTATATCCTTAATGATTTGGAACTTCTTTTCCTATGCTTATTAGCTATCTTTTCTCTGTGAGGTTAGGAGTGATCTCCTTTTCCATTCTGAAATTTAATGATTTGGATTTTCTGTTTTCCAATAAAATTTTGTAGCTTTTCAAAGTTGCCTAAAGTTTTCTAGCTTCCCATAAGTTCCTTTCATTGTTTGGATCCTTTTTGTCTGCTCCATCTTTGATCACAGATTTAGCACCTGGATGTTGTCAGCAGGTTCTGTTTGTGGTTGAGGACTTCATGAACTGATTCTTTCCTCCTGTATCCACCCCTCCACCATTAACAAAATACTGTCTAGTCACCCATGTTAAGACCACCAAGAACTTAATAGTCAACACTCTTAAGATGGACATTTTCCAGGGATTGGTTATTTCAGATAAAATACTGATAACGCGATGGGGATGGGGACTTTATTAATAGAGTTCCATGGAAGTCAGTATTGGCTGCTGGCAACAATCCTCTATTCCTAAGTCATTTGGGGGCCAGGTATTTGGCCTGCTGGTTAAGATGGCCACAATTCATTTTGCAGTACCTGGGGTCAGTACCTGGCTCCACTCCTGTTATACCTGGGGCACGTTCTTGGTCCCCAGCTTCAATGCTGGCCTACCTCCTGCTATTACAGAAAATTTTGGGGGAGTGATTTATTGGATAGGAGTTCAATCAATTTCTCTCTGTGTTTCATACACAGACACAGTCTATCAAATTAATTTTTAAAAAGGAGAATGGGTGTTTGATATAGCAATGAGGATGCCCCTTTGTATGCCTCACATTCCATATCCGAGTACCTGGGTTCGAATCATGACTCTGCTTCTGTTCCAACTTCCTGCTAATGCACACCTTGGCAGGCATCAGGTGAGGGCTCAAGTAGTCGGTTCCCTACCACTCTATCTGGGAGGCCTGGGCTCGGTTCCCAGCCACTGGTCTTGACCTGTTTCAGCCCCAGCTTTTGTGGGTGAGTCAGTAGAAGAGAGATATGTATTTTTCTCCCTCTGCCTTTCAAATAAACACATTTTGTTTTTTAAAAAGATGAATGTAAAAATAATTGTATGGAAACTTTAAAAAGTCAATCTCTACTACGATTCACTTTTACAGAGTATATGTACTTGCTTGTTTTTATTGTACAGGCTTCACCTGAATGGTTCAGTGGAAATGTTTGGCCTGTGGCCCTGAAGATCCACAGAATTATTTGTTCTGGCCCTGTCAGGGTAACTGAGAGCAGGACTTGAAATTCAATACATCTACAGCAGGCTAATTTTTAAATTGATAATTGTGTATGACCCATGAATGTTGTTATACATATTCAAATGGCCTTTACCAGAAAACAATTCTCTACCCTGGATGTTAATTAACGTAGCAATACTTTAAAATTCATGGGAACTCTGCTAAACATCATCAGTATTACTGAAACATAGGAAATAACTGGAAAATACATATGCTTGATTGTATAGTCCTTATGTTGGAAATCTTAAGATATAATGGAAAGGAACATGAATCTAGGGATACGCATTTACAAAACTGAAGCGATGCATCTGAAATTGTGAAGCTACATCCTGAACTGCATAAACTGTAGAATTAGTTTGACTTGTGGAGTTTTGCTAATGCAATAATACCTAAGTGTCTCACACAGTAAACACTTAATAAATGTTTTATTAACAAAGTACATTTGAGATGAATTAAAATTAATCATAACGATTTTATGACAGTACTAAGAGTCACTTAACAGACATCAAATTAGTGTTATAAACTATTTTTCTAACATTACCTGAACTAATTTCTAAACTAAATTTAGAATTTCATCAATATTACTCCACTAAACATTAAAGAACAAAAATTCAAAACTGCATATGAAATAAGAAAACCAGAATAAAGAATAATCAAAGGAAAATTAGCTAGAATCTTGTAAGAGATATCATTATATTTTAGTATGCTTAGTCACATACTTTTTTCCAAAGGCTTATATACATGCACAGATTAACACATCTTAGTATATTTCAGTAACAGTTTAATTGAATATTACTTTGTTAATATTTATTTCTAATAAAGTTTTAGTAAAGATAGATCAGCAGAAATATTATGAGATATAGACATTCCATTGATTAAGGGGAAACCAAAGATAACATAATGTAAATGATATTACTATATGTACCCTTAAAATCAATTTCTAAAATGTTATCTATGCAGACATGATAAAAATAATTTCTTCCTAGCTTTAGGGAACTGCTTAGGTTGCTTCGTGCTTAGACCAGGCTAGTCCAGGCTGCAGCACACATAAGTACAGCACTTGAGAATCAGGCCCGGGGGTGGGCCAGGCCACAGCATCTGTCAGCACATGCAAAGGCAAGGACTGGGGGCAGACTGTCCTGGGGAGCAGCCCAGCATCTGCCAGCACACATGAAGTCCTGGTCTGGGATCAGGCCTGGTGGAGAAACTTGGGAAACTCTCCTGCTAGAGCCAGCACTGGGGAGGGGCCAGGCCAGGCAGGGCTGTACCACTTGTTGGCACGTGTTGGGCTACAACATGTGGAAGCTGGGATGTGTGTGGTATGAGCGGGGCTGGACTACTTCACTCGTTGGTTCATATGAGAGTCAAGGATGGTGGCAGGTTGGGCAGGGCTAGGCAGCACACTCACTGGTGAGCATGAGAACCAGGGCTGGGGGCTCGCCAGGCTGAACAAGGCAACAGTACCCATTGGTATAGGTGTATGCTGGGTCTGGAGGTAGATCGGACTGAGTTAAGTCACAGGGTGTTCACTTGGGCGTGAACGAGAACTGGATGGGATGTGTGACAGGCTGGAGTAGACTGCTACACAGGCTGGTACAAGCAGGAATGGGCTGAGGGCAGGCCTGGTGGGAGTTATTGGGCGCTGCCCTGATTGGGCTACAGTTCTCACTGAGACATGTAAGGACTGAGTTTATTATGTACTGGGTTTGCATAGGAGTTGAGGCGGGGTGGAACTGACCAGGCCACTGCATTCACTGGTGTGTGCATAGGCTGATGAGGGTCAGCGACTGAATGGGACCCCACACTGGCTGGCTCACTCAAGAGGCAAGTCTGGTGTCACTCCAAGTGAGGTTTGTTGGTGAACAATTCAGTTAGATCCTTGGACTCAAATCCAAGTTACAGGGAAAATCAGTCTGACCTTGGAGTGTATGTATCAGGACTGGGCTCTTGGCCAAGCTTTGTAGCAAGTGTCCGTCTGGGTATTTGTATGCACTCGGGTGGACTTGGTCAGCCCAGTAGACCTTGGATAAACTGTCTCAGCCCTGGAGCAATGGAACTATCAAAACCACTCAACAGCCCTGGAACATTATTCCTCACATGCCTGGATGCTGATGTAGTTTGGCAGCAAGGAGCAGCCCTTCCCCCCACACCCCCCCCAACTCCCTGCAGAAAATAGGAGAAAAAGAAAAATTAAGAAATATTTGTTCCAACCCCTCTTCCTGCATGCCTCAACCCTGCCCACCCTAGTCAGTGGCATACATAGGCATACATTCACCTCAGCTAATAATGTTAAATATAAAATATTAAAAAATGAAAGAAACAATTTTCTGGCCTATGAATTTAAATATTAATTTTTCATTATCAGAAATTTCTTAGTCTTTCACTATTATAAAGAATGCGTTATTGAATATCTCTGTGCATCAGTATTTGCAGCCAAATTATTTTCTCATATCACTAGATATGGACTAGTTGAATGATAAATAAAAATATTCTGGAAATATTCTAGTTTTTTTTTTTAACTGACTTTATATATTTGACAGGGAGAGATAGATATTCCCCATCTATTATTTGATTCTGTAAATGCCCACAACAGGCAGTGCTGGCTCAGGTCAAAGCTGGGAGCCAGAAAAATGCATCTGGATCTCCTACAGGCATGGCAGGGCTCAAGAATTGAGGCCATCATCTGCTGTGCATTAGCAGGAAGCTAGAACAGAAGTAGAGCAACCAAGATGAACCATCACTTCAATATGGGATGCCAGTGTCCGAAGTGACCTAAGTATACCACATCACTGGCTCCTGAATTATAAAAAACCTCTTAATATAATATAATATTTTAAAAAGAGAGATTATTACTACTTTAGATGTCTGTTAGTTTTCAGTGGAAGTATTCAATTTGTTCTTTTTTAAAAAATGAAGTGGAATTCACCTAACAACCATTTTAGTGTAACACTAAATATGCCTAGGATGTACACAATGTTGCACAACCATACTCTAGATAGCAGGTTGTAAATCCCATTTCTCCTCACCTTGGTAACTT